TTTTTGATACGTATTTTTATTGAAATCCTTTTTTCGTAATATATCATAATATGCAATATTGACATAACATGTCGACAAATATATATTAACTTTAAGTGTAAAATATAATTAAAAAGATATTGTATCAATATATTTAATTTGCTAGTTCAATTTAATTATATAATTTTCGTTCTGATTTTATGTCACAGGATATTGGTTTTCTTTTAAAATTGTTCACGAATCAAATTTTCAAGGAATGAAAATTTGATTGCTAAAAAATTAAAATATTTTTTATCAAAATCAAACCTAATGTGATAAAAATATTATATTAAGTCTTTTAGTAGATCATTTTTATCAAACATAATTATAGATATTAATATGCAGATAAATTCTTTCTGTTTCAGTTTTAATTTTAAATATATATATTTAATCATAAAATCTTTTTCATATGTAACAATTGCATATATATGGAAATATAAAAACCATAAGACTAATTTTGTAGTTGGTAGGATTTAGGAATAATTATTATAGAAAACCGTTGCGGTACAGATTCAGTTTCGTAGTTTATGAATAAAAGATCCCGAGTTCGAATTCCGATCGGTTAATTTTTCCTACATATATAATGACGTTTTAGTCTGAAAAGGGAGAATTAAAGATCGCATTAAATTCGCATTAAGATCGCATTTAATATTAAACGTAGTTCCAATAAATACTGCCTGTTTGACTGCTTAGTAACCGAGCAGAAAACCATGTTCAATGTTGTAGGTAACATCTAACGATCAACTCCGTGAGTCGATCCGACGTTTATCCGGTCCGACTGCAGAGTTCACGAGATACATCGAACAAATAACGGTAAATGCGTATTCTTATGATAGCAATCTCGCATCATCCCGAATCCTTCGCGGGAATCTTCTCGTTCGCACTCGCCTAGAAATTCAGTCGAAGTTCAGCCGTGGCGGGCTCGCGCACGGGGAAGCTTTTCTTCGCGCGCGGAGAAGAGCGGAATTTATTTCACCCGTAAAATCCCACTCTCGCGGAAAGCCCCGGGAATGTACGGTAGCGGGATGCAAAGACGCGGTCGTGCATGGGAGAGCTGATCAGGATATCTACCGGGTTTCGATGGTAACTCCCGTGGCCCGGAGCGTTCGCCACGGGAGCGGACGTGTCATCGTGACGCTACGTGTTACCGTGCGGCAGGTGTTATGGGATTGTCTCCATGGTTGCGCATGGATGCGTATGTGGATGCGTGTGCACATCCACGCGTAATTTCACTATCAGTATGTAGAGGAAAAAAGCACGAATTAAACATGACGAGCGTTGCGCTAGCTCTCCCTGAAACTGAACTGAACTTCTCTCGCCAAAACTGAAACTCCGCCTCTATTCCCAGAGCGCACGTTTTCGTCGGTACGCGATGTAATCCCATGTACGTCGAAATACATATAATTATTCAAACTACGCGGACCATAAATCTCGCGTGGCCGAACGAATGTTGAAATAGTACGTAAGAATTGCGGATTATTATTATTACGTACGCCATAAATTTTAACCGGAACCGGAGGAATACAAAAGTGAGATAATAAACGATCGATTAACGGCCTCGAAGTTTCTTTTGTATAAATAATATAATATACGATAACAAAATTCCGTTTTACGGAATTCTACTTCTCATTATAATATATTATAACATTTATTTACGCGTTTTATTGTATTATTGTTTTTTTATTTCTAAATTCTCGTGAATACATTGTACTCATAAACAACTATTATACTAATAATAAATGACGTTAATTTAAATGAGAAATTATAAATTTATTCTAGCGTAATAAACGAAAATTATAAAAACGAAAATTATAAACGAAAATTATACATTTATTCTAGCTGAATAAACGAAATGTAATAAATGTAAGTTACATACCAATAGATGTTGTACTTCTTTTGTTTTATTCGATATGCGTTATTGCAGCGCGACAGATGCGATAAATGTATTTTTTGTTCGCACGTGCACATGTTTGTAGTGTTCGAATATGTAATGTAACTAAAAACGTACGTTAAAAAAATGTTACAAAATCCTCAATCAAAAAAATCAAAATCTTTATTGTAACGAGAAATATGACCTGCTACGAAGTTTCTTTTTATTAAATAGTTTTTAAAAAATATATGTTGGACTGTCAAAACTAATATTATTTTGTGATAAATAATTTGTTTGGAGATATTAAATTATTCAAACTCGTACAATGCCATAACAAATAGCCATGAATAATCCCATTTAAAATGATCGAATCGAACGAACCTTCAAAAAGCGAATTACATTGTGAGATGTCACCTAGTTTTAAAAAATAAAATATTTAACGCGTTCTATTTTGACACACGCAGCAAAAAAATATTAAAAATATTATTCTTTTCTGCACCAATACATATAAATAAATTTTGAAGCTTCCATAGACTTTATATATATGCAAATTAAGTATACTATTAATATAGATTGTAATAAAACCAAGTTTACACAATTCATTTTAAATATCGTGTTTAAATCTTATCAGTTATTAAATTATTAAACGATAGTTATTAAACGATATAAATTATTAATTATTAGATATCATTCAGTTTTATATTTTCATCATTCGTAATAATTGCGGTTTATTCGTGTTAATTTGAAAGCTTATTGGAGAAATTGCCACTGTGAAGCCTATAAGTACACGAAAGAAAATAAGATATTACAATTTCATAAAACAATAATGCATAATTGTAGACATATTGAATACGTTGTTAACGTTTCTCATATTAATGTTTCTCAAGAAAATGTGAATAAAATTGAGAATTCAAATAATATCTGGCGGATCTGAGTCAATTTAACAGATTTTTGATAACGGAAATAGGAAATGATAGTTTTTGTAATAATGTAAAAAAACGTTTCTTCGTTGAAAAATCCTAACTGGACGTCGACTCAGCCCGATAAAGCCCCGTCGTTACCGATAATTATCGGAAAACACTTAGGGCTGGTGTCATGTGTGCTAACCATACTGCCTGATTGGCTTGGAACTTCATTAATCACCGTCACTGCTTGATGTATTATTCGCTTTTAACGTACAAGACAGGTCCGGTATCACGTCTGAGGAACTTTACTTGGACATTGCATTGTTCACAACTGGCGCATGCGATCATTTATACTACTGACTAATAATTTGCAACGGCAGTCATGACAGTCGGAACATGATGAAACGTAAGAACAATATCTCGCACATATCCAAGATTATATCATTGCGTGTATATTAGTAACATTATATTTTGTTATTTACGTTATGTTTCGCTCTTTATCCGTCTCTCTGTTCTTAAATCTTATTATCTTGTAAGTAGTACCATATCTTAATTTCATATCTTAATTCTTGTTTCTCTGATAATTTGATATTATCCGCAAAAATAAGTCCGCTTGTTGTTTCGTGTTAGTTTCGTTGTTAGTTTCGTGAATTTCAACGACATTAAAATGAACGATTCGTAATATTATCAATATTTGTCACCCCTTTACGAAGGTAATCGAAAACGGTCGACACATTCTCGTATGTCGCTTCAACATTGTAATTTAATATATACCCGTAATTTGCATTTAAAATAACTAATCAGTAAACGATCGATAAGCCGGCCGCTGCTTCGCTATCCCCGTTGCAATTATATGTATAAATGTTGTAAATAAGCATCTATGCTATTTACTCGCTCACCTGCATCGACTCCTGAATTGGCAACCGACCACGGTGACAACAACATCAATAATGATCCTATTATGTATCGTTGACGAGATAGCGTAATCCGATCTTATCGACACTGCATATGATACATTTTCAGATCAGTCGAGATGCGGACGAAGACAAAAGTGAGGAGAGTAACCCACCGCCATTCATCACGCCCCCGCCTCCGAATCCAGATTGTGAGTAAGGCTCAAGTAGCCGCGCTAAACTGATTTTTTGACCTCTCATAGAATATAATGTCTTATCTATAAATTACGTTCTAATAATTTAGAAGACATCTAATCTATCACCTATAATATCACATATGTGAAGGGTATCGAAAAAAAATGCTTTATTTATTCATGTATCTTGTTTCTTTAATTAATATAAATTAAAATCCTTTTGCTTTGATACTTTTAAATCAATTGATGCTAATATTCAATCCTAGTTTTTCTTTTTACTTTTTTTTTATTTCTTATCACATATCATGTACATTTTATTATTTGACATTTTAAAATTTTCAATCTTTTATACTGAAAAATGTAAATCAAAATATTTCTATAATTTTTCTTTTCCGCTCGGATATATTTTTTATTATTTCCTCTCACGCTCGTAATACTTACTCTTTTAATTTATTGCGGAGATATTTAAATAATTTCAAAATATCACTGTAATATAGACATCATGTTACTATTTATATTATATTATTTTTAAGACAGTTTTTTAATTAATCAATGCACCGAAACATCAATATCTTTTTATTTTTTTAATTTGACATCCCCCAGCTTAGTAAAGATAGGGCAACGCATTAAAAATCATTTATTAATTTTGCTATAGTCAACATCGATGCGTGACGTCGACTTCGAAGATATCACGTCGAAGAAACGATGATAAAATATGAAGCAAACTTTTTTAATCTACTTTTCGCGCGCATAAATCACCCTGGCGTGTCAAAACAGAGAGCGACGAAGTTGCGTGGACTTATGGCGGTGCATTCGTATTTTCTTTTTTCTCAGATAAAGGTCCGAAAGGCGAGAAGGGCGACAAAGGGGAAAAGGGCGAGAGTGTCAGAGGTCCCCCGGGGCCTCCTGGCCCTCCTGGTCGCGACGAGGTGAGTGCTTTACTCAATCAACGGACTTTTTATGAACTAATATCAAAGTAGACAACCGCAAAAGAAACGGTTATTTCTTAGACTTCCCCTGATAATAAAATCGATATATTTGAATAATTAATAACACAATTAAATTAAATTATCGGCTAAAATTGCTATAATTTATTAAACATAATAAGAATTTATTCCAATTTAATGAGGATAATATAATCGCTTTTATTTTATCGTGGTTATTATCGTGGTCATCCATTTTGTAATTATCAGATTCATTTATAAATTGGCACGTATATTCGTTTGTGATAAAACATGAAAAAATATTAAATAAAATAGCTAATTGTTTATTACTATTATACATGTATGTATGTATATATATATATATATAATATAAATTGATTAAAAGATTAAACAATGTTTTAGCTTATTCTAAAATTTATCTATTTCTATTTCGCTATTCATATCGCGTAGATATCGTAGTAATAAGACTTTATTAGTGAAGCGGAGTATCTGTGCTTCTCCTGTGGTTGTAGACACATCTCGTTATATTAACTGTAGGGACCGCGATCGCATCCACAGATCCGAGCGCAGGTACGATATTGAAGGCGGCCTGAATGCACCTGAATCCGGGATCACTCATTTATCTTGTTATTCGCGTGAGTCAATTTAGCATCGACACCGGAGAACCGACGCCTGTCGCGTATAACACTGATTACACCAAAGCCGCTTTCACGGTGCTTACTATCTTCCGCTGTTATTGGTACGTGGCGTACATGCGTATTTGCTCGGTTTTAGACACCATCGGAACTTGATTGTATCGCTTTTATTTATTATTACAACAAATAGCTCGCTGATATTTAGTCGTCAACGCTATTACAAGCGATTTACTTGTGCAGTTAATAAATCACGATATTAAATGATATTAAACAAATTTAATCTTTCCGCTTTCAAGGATTGGCTAATGAAGATACCACAGGGACCACCTGGTCAAAAAGGAGACACCGGCAGTTGCACCTGCAACGCCACGGCCTTAATGTCTTCCTTTACGATGCCAAAGATGATACAAGGGCCTAAGGGTGAGCCAGGAGTACCCGGACAGGAAGGCAAACAAGGCTTAATGGGCCTCACGGTAATAATTTTTATTTTTACGATTTTGAGATATTATTTAATGAAAGAGTTAAAGATGATACTTAAGCTATTTGTGATAAATTAAAATTGGTACAAAAATTTTTATACTCTCCAGATCATCTGAAATGCAATAATTGTTAAAATATAAGTACAAAAAAAATTATTTACAAATTTATTTAAGTTACAAAATTTCTTAGATTTCTTTTATTTCTTTTTCCAAAATTTAATTTTTCTGGTCTAAAACTGTATCATTTTCAACGCTGTTGTATTTTGTGTAGACAATACTGTGGTGCATAATTGTATTATGCTTAATTAAGATTACCATTTCAGGGTGCGGCAGGACCGCCAGGGGAAAGAGGACTGCAGGGTCCGTCCGGGGCTAAAGGTGATAAGGGTGATATTGGAATACCGGGACCGGAAGGTCCTCAAGGTCAAAAGGGCGAACCGGGTCGAGATGGAATACCCGGAGAAAAGGGTGCGCAAGGTCCACCGGGGCCGCCTGGAAAAGGAGAATTTTCTGGCTATGACGTAAGTAGATTGCCACACTGGAATATGATCTGTCATGCTGAGACCGAAAGCCAAGTTAGAATATTTTCTCCGGCACCTTTCCTGGCTTGGATTTGCCATTTTCGCTTATCCTCGCGAGATTTTCTTTACGTTTGCTATTCGCGATGAGAAGTTATTTTCATTGGGACTTGTATTTATTTTCTATTATTGCTAAATAATAGATGACTGCGTAGGCTATTTTAACGAAAAACGACACGATAATAACAATCGTCCAAAAAAAAAAGATTTGATTCTTTTTATATCTTATTATAAAAATTGCATTTCTTCGACAAAACGTTCATCAATTTTTGTATGTGGATTATTTAATGGTTTAACTATATTTAGAACAATAGGAAATGGTCATTGTTATCGTGCGCACGTGTGCGCGTTATGGAATTAAAAATTTAATACATTCCATTATTGTCAAATGAGACTCTGGAAGGAAAAGCGGGATGTTTGTCTAAATGGTTTCTGCTGGATATAGCAGCGGCATGAAAACGAAGGCCGGACGAATGGAAGGGTAATGTTAACGCAAGAGATATGACATTGAGAAATTTGCTAGAGAAGAACATTTATTGTGTACGCGATTACTGCGAAGTAGCGGAAATTCAAGCGCGCCCGACCGTACGAAGTCGTCGCTATAATAAGTAGATAAGTATCTCCATTCAAGAAATTTTCATTATCCTCGTATGAATCTAGCTCAGTCGTATTATTCGCTTATTTTCCCGAAACGGACACGCGGCAGCGAGAAACTCGGAGGGAAATGGAGGGCCATATCTTCTCTCAGGGAATTGTCGAGCTGTTATCAAAAGTATACTATTTAAACATCGCATTCGACGCCATCCACCGTATATTAACTCAAGCAAATTATCCCAGTTAACCATTTTTCTTCTTCATATTTGCAGTTTATTATTATATGACTTTTAATATTTGGGAAAATAAGAAAAAAAAAAATGAAAGTTGAGCTTTTTAAATAATCTTCCTGCAAACAAGTTGTTTCCGCGCGATGAGAATTGTTTGTGTCACAAATAATTCTATTATTTAAACTACTTATTTGGAAAAGTTAAACTTTGAAATTACGATAAATTTAAAGTGGTGGCGATCAAAAAGTGGTGCAATACAACACTCTCATCATATCTTTTTAAATTCCTACCATTAAATATAAATAATCAAAGTTATGTTGCATTAGATAAATGATATTTATAATATTAATGATACATGGAATTTTGATGTTTCTCTAAAGAGAGCGAATATCCAATTTATATCCGGTTATTGAGATGGCGGGATATTATTGCTATATTATCCATGCTATCGCGTTTCGAAGTGTATGAAAATGCACGCAAAGGTGTATTCCAAGCCATCGTCGTAATACTCGGCTCTCCGTGCAACCGCTTTTACGTGTACCGAAATGACTACTACAGCGATCCTGTCCCCACCCGACCTGACAAGAAATTCGTTGAATGGGAATGGAAACGCGTATCGCCCCGTGGAGAATAAGAAACTGTGCACGTAATAACGGCCAAGTTGTAAGTCCGATCCTCAGCCTCCTCCCTTTTCTCGTTCGCATTTCCCATTGCGCACCTTCTCTCCCCCCCCCTCTCTCTCTCTCTCTCTCTCTCTCTCGTTCTCCACTTTTCTAGTTCGTTGCAATTTATCCCGTATCCGTTCTTAACAATAGCAGCGAATCTCACTCGGTCTTTTTTTTTTTGCCAGCAACGAAAAATGGCCCCGAATCGCGCTGACAGGCCTGCGATATTAAAATGGTGTGCAGCATACATCTACATACGTGCGATATTAATGGCGGTAAAAGTTTTAGTAGTGAGAGAGCGCTCCGTATGAGCGATGTGGTTTCAGGAAGGCTACGCAAATATATATATAAAACACGGAAAATTCCTGATCTCTTCCCATTTTTCCAATAAACAAACTCTTTTCTCTGCCCGACCTTGCAACGAAGTGTTTGAAGTTACAACATTTCCGATTTTCTCCATAACAGTATCAAAAGAGCATGGGAAAAACCTTCGATCGATAAAATTTTCGACGGAAAAATAAAAGTACCGGCGCGCACGCATGAAAGAAAATGACTTTGTTTTCTCTTATCATATTTGTATTTATAAGCATAATATTTAACAAAACAAAACGCAGATAAACATTGTCCATTAAACATCGTACTTGTGTTTTTATTCATCGCGCTACGGTGGTACGTTCACGAGCTTTTTACATCTCCCATATTTCATCGCGTATTTTCAATACCCCCGGATTATCCTTTTTGATGTTTCGATCTTTCGGTTGCAACGGCTCTTTGGAGCTGACATCGATCCCGCATTGAACGAGTTAAATCTACTTAAGATTGATATTCCACGCTGTCAAAGTCAGCGGGAGTGGTTCAATTCCTGAAACCACGTTTCTGGCCACGGGAGAGAAAAGAAATCTCCGCGCTGTCGTGGGAAACGTAACGATCCTGTCGCGCTTCAAACCGTCAATTTACCTCCGGAGATGTGGTCGTTTTTCACCTTGTTCTCTTGTTACGCGATTTTCGCGGCGGAAAGCGCAACGACGTCGTGCAGAAATATAGTGGCGAGCGTGAGGCAGAACGAAGGGCATCATCGCCGGGCACTATCGAACCGCATCGCTTCGCTTTATCAACGACACAAACTCGTGACGCGGATGCACCCGCATATCGCTGAAAGATCGGCGATGACGCAATATTTATCCCACCCTCATACTCGGCTTACGAAGGTATAAAAAAAAAATAAAAGAGGAAGGAAAAAAGAGGGAGAGAGAAAATGCAGGGGCGCGCAGGGTTACGGTTTTGCTGTTTTTTATGCCGGTGACACGCTTCCAAACGTTACACCGGAAAAAAAGGCCGAGCTGACTGGTAATTGCCAGCCTGGTAATTGTTGAGACGTCGCAGCGAAGGAAAAATCTCGTTACTCTCGTAGCTGAAAGCGCGGAAAACATTGGAAAACTTCCTGCTGTTGCAATCGTACTCGAGATAATATCCATCGTGGGATTAATACATATATTTGAATTTTATATTATGATAAATGAATTCGATGTCATTTAATATAATTCCTGTGTCATTATAATTCTTCGATTAAATTCTATTGCTTACGACTGTCAACTTGATCCATTTGATGTCATATCAAATGGAAATTTTTAATTTTATTATTTGATTAAAAATACCGCGAGAAATAATGCAGACGATGCGTGTGGTTCTCGTAATGAACAATTTTATTCTTGATCAATTTAAATAAACTTTAGAGATTACTTTCTTAAACCTTTCTTTGCTTATACAGATTCTTTCTTACAAAGAACTGAACATGTTGCAAAGGAAAGATGATCATTTTGCGAATTAGATTACATCGTCTGTCGTATGCGTAATATATTATCATATTGTAACTGTGCGGCAATATCGATAACTTAAGCAGCTATAAAAGAGACATACGTCTTTACGACATAACGAAACGGTAAGCTTGCAGTTTTGCTCGAAATCGAGGAACCGAGGAAAATTGTAACTGTAACACAATGATCTATATCCAGATATGCACATCGTGGAATATAGGATAGCATGAGACAATAGAACTGTGTCACTGTTGGCTAATGCATTAACGCCAGATATATGCCATTGATAAAGATCCCCAAAAAGCCGCGGATAATCGTTCAAATCGTTATAATATTCCAGATTATTTGATTCTAAAGCTCTGCATCGTTAATTCTTTTTCGTGAAAAAAAAATTATTTTATCCATCACCAATTATGTACATTTTGTTCAACGAATTGATCATTGTAAAAAAAAATTTAAATTAAAATGTAACAACAATATATGTAGTTTATTTTAATTTTTCCAATGTTATTTTTTTAATAATAAAATAATTCTGTTCTCGACGAATGTAAAATCGACTATTTTAATAAATATGTCTGTAGCTTCAATTAGTGATTACATTTTTATGGAGAATGATGTCAAATTGATGCCAAATATATCTTATCATGTTATCTGTTTTTTTTTAATAAGCTAGCAAGATACATTAGATTTCATTCTTTATAAATATGACAGTATCTTGTATATTTAATCGTGTAGTAGTTATTGTTAATTAATAACATTTTAGTTTCGATTGATACTCATCTCATTCGGATGATAACGAAATTAGGATTTCCTTTCTACCGCGGGATTAAACAACGTTAATCGATTATTTCGATTTACGAATAATTAAATTACCGATCGATCACGAAGGTACGGAATCCAAATAGAAAGATTGAGAATACGAAGATGCGTTTGAAGAAGGCTCAAATGCTTCACGATACGATCAGAAATCATCATTGTCGCCAGAATCCTCAGTTCATGCAAAGACAGATACCCGGTTGCGCATATGTATAGAGTAACGGTTATCTTACATGACCCTCCGGCCTCGCATCGGTCCTTCCTCTGGATGTGCAAGAGCCCGATTTCCCCGGGGAATACAGAAACCAATTTCTAGGCTGCCTACTGCATGTGCCGACTAGGTGTACGCCAGGTAGGAAGGAAGGAAGAGGCTCGGAGATGCGCGGGTGTTGCGTCCCCCGGAACGTCGGGCTAGTAGTTGAAGACGGGCTAGTAATACTCGATTCAGATGTTCGCGCGTGTTTCGATGTGTGCGTGTGTGTGTGTATGTGTGTATGTACGGGCGCTGCCGATCGGTTCGGCAGATGTTTCCCAGCGAGAGCGATCGCGCGGACTAGAATTTGAATGAACAGAACGGAGTAGAGGAGAAAATTCGGAAATTGTATTAAGGCCATGCCACGACGTATTACTGCCAGAGAGAACTGCTTTAAAGCAGAAACGGATTTATAGATACGTGCTGTATATACGTATATATATATATATAGTGAGAAGGTAAAATTCGATTCGCGAATGAAGTGTCATTGAATTCCAACAAAAAGAGAAAAATACGTGCGGAATGGACTGCCTAATTTTACGATCTGAACAAGAGCGACTTCGATTGGATTTTATTGTGAATGAAACTCGTTAGATATTAATCGTACAAATTTGCAAATAACGAACGCTACATGCATATCCAATATCAAAATGAAATATTAATGAATTACGAAACGTGTGGTTAATTGAATCAAATAATGTCATATTTGTTAGCATAATGTGAACTGCTTCCGAACGACAAAATCGTTCGTTAAAATAAAATAAATATTACGTAAATGATTTTCATAATTTTATAAAGAGGAAGAACGTATGTCGACACATATGTCGATGCAGTTGTACATAGAAAACGGAAGAGAAGCTGTATATATATTGCTGCTCTATCAATAGCCGAAGAAGTCTAAAAGTTTCAAATGTTCGTGAGAAGCTCTGAATGGATATGACGAACTATGAAACGAATGGTGGCGTTGATATATAGATACATAGAAATCGCGACGTGATTTATAGTGAGATGCCGTATTAATGCGAAAAAAAAGAATAATCGCTTCGCGAAGCAGATACGCGAAAATACTATTTAAAAAAAATTGAAAGTATTTACTGTACCAATATATTTTATTCGATTTCGATGTATTTTATTCGATAAAGAGTTCATATTAAAGTGAATTTTTACAGAATCATCTTAAATGTAAGAAAACATCAAGTATCTAAAAAGTATCTAAAAAGTAATACAATGTATTTATTTCTAAGTTTTTCCGCATTGGAAAATATGTAGATTAAACTCTGAATATTATCTTCGAAACATTTATATATAATTATTTACTATATAATGCATATTACATTTTCTGCAAAATTAAAGAATTTCATAAGCGATAAGTGACAATTTCCTTTTCCGTTATTTTCCGCATGCTTGAAAACTTATTTCATCATCAAATCTTATTTCTTTGAAAGGATCCGAATTACGTATCAAAGGAAAAAGGTTAGCGTATTTAAAAATGAAATTCGCACTTATGATTCTAATAAAATTCGATTTATGCTAAAGCGATTGTGAATCACGCGCCATCAACAATTGTTCGCGCAACAATTGTTCGCCATTAATCAATGGCAATGGATGCAAACGTGTAGACGGCAATGTCGGGCCGGCCCGTAAGGCTTTCAGTCTCGCAACGTTATTCCAACGATCTAACAGGGAAATTTCGATTATTATGCGCATGCAGCCGAGTTGGAAACCTCGAAATATTTACAGAGTGAGTACGGACCAGAGCATTCTGATTGCGTCGTAAATACCTTCCCCGATACTTGAAATTCCTTTTTCAAATTATAAGATCTTAATAAATAGCTTGTATATGCAATTTCATCAATTTAATATAATTTTTTATTTAAATTCTTGCCTATCTAGCCGGAAGGTATTACAATGAGACCAGGACTCCCAGGACAAAAGGGTGAACCAGGCACTTCAGGAAGTCCCGGTCCGAAAGGCGAGTCTGGAATACCTGGGTCTAAAGGTATCAAAGGCGAACCCGGACATAAAGGTGCCAAGGGAGATCATGGGAAGGATGGTCCTAGAGGAATTCAGGGCTTCAAGGGTGAGCCTGGTGCACCCGGTGCACCTGGGTTGCCCGGAGCACCCGGTGAAAATGGACGGCCAGCAGAAAAGGGTGATAAAGGCGATACGGGACCTGAAGGCAAACCAGGACCTCCAGGACCACCAGGTCCATCAGGTATAGGCGGTCCCGGTGGCATAAATGTGGGAGATTTAGGTGAGCAAATGCGAATGCTTTTTTTTAATATATCAAACAATAATGAATTTAAGTACTAATTCATTCATTTATTCATTTTATTTATTATTTTTACGCAATGTTAACTTTAATAAGCAAAAAATTATTTGAAACTTTTTTGATTATGTTGTTAGTCTATTTGTCTTCAACATAATTACAACAAGTCAGCTTGATATGAATAAAACATTAAATATAATTAAATAAATATATTGTAGTTGCTTTAAGAAAGCATTGGCAATTATATTATTTATTACTTGTGATTGTATTTTATTATGTTAATAATTATAAACAATAATAAATATAAATTTTTAAGACTTTAGAAGATATTGTAAAAAACTAGAAACTCAATTTCTCTCGATTTTTTTTTTTATTTACGACATAGACATGACTCTATCACAATAGTTGAGGATTATGTATTATTAACGATATTTTCTTACCACGAAATATCTCTTATGTTAAAGAGAAAGACAATAGGATATAACATTCGAAATGTTATTTAATCAAGGATTTGGCATAAGAGGAGACAAGGGTGATTCTGGAGCGCGCGGGTACAAGGGTGATAAGGGCACGAAGGGTGAGAAGGGCGATAAGGGTGATTCCGGGCCAGCTGGCATTCCCGGAATAAACGGTATTCAAGGACCTCAAGGAGATAAAGGCGAACCTGGTAAAGACGGAGTATCTGGATTACCTGGCATACCTGGTACTAAAGGCGAGAGAGGTGAAAGAGGTCCTCCTGGAGCTACTACCATCGCCAATTCCGGAGACTATATTACTATCAAAGGCGAGAAAGGCGCCGAAGGAAAGCGAGGCAGAAGAGGACGACCTGGACCACCTGGTCCCGTGGGTCCTCCTGGAAAACCAGGAATTACAGGAGAAATCGGTCTACCAGGATGGATGGTGCGATATCACTTTACGTTATAATAGTAATAATTAATTTAGCTCAATAGATGTAATTATGTATAATTAAAAAACAATATTAACTAAAATAATAATATATTTATTATATAATATGGCAATATTATTGATGACTTAATATTATTTGTACAGCATAATTATCACATTATAATAATATATTAATATTTAATATTATTAACGATATAATAACATCAGATAAATATTCTGCATTACTTTGAGATTTCATTTCTAACTCTTGTTATCGTTTTCATAATACCCATTGAAGAACACGATAAAGGTGAGCTTTTAATTAAATTGCATGAAATAATATGAATTTTGTAATGTAACATTTTTTTTATAATTCTTGGGGTGAATGATTACAAATGGCCTTTTTTGCATCTTCTTAAAATAAAATGTGAATTCAGTTGTCGTAGTTAACACAATATATAACAGAAACATTTATTAAACGTTTAAACGCAGATCAAAATTAGATACACTGTGTCATAAGTATCAAATCCCTGCGCTAATTAAAACGCAAACGAGCGACTCATCTGTCACTGTCTTCCACAGGGTCGTCCTGGGACACCTGGAATTCCGGGAAGTATCGGACCAATGGGACCCAAGGGAGAAAAGGGGGAACCTGGCGCACCAAGTCCTTACGGTGTTTCTCTCGGTGTAAGTATAAGTTTCAGTTTCAGTTTCAGTCGTGATATCGCCCGTGTAAACTTCTTGCGCGCTAACTTTACATATAAATCCAAGCGCTCACTAAAAGGCGAGAATTGAGAAACAAGGAGCCTTCAAACCGAGGCTTTCTTTCGTAAAAGAATCTCACGTGAGTAACCCGTCAGCTCATCGTCCGTAAACAACGAGAACGAGGAATGTTACCTTCCTCCGTTTCAAAGGGAAAAGGCAGAGATAGGGGCGGAAATAAAAATAATACTTTTCACCTCGCGCGGTTTCGGTCTGGCAGATTAAAGTGGCGGGGCATATATATATCCTTGTGAATAGGATGATGCGGAAGTCTTTGAACAACGGGCGGCGTAACGCGAGTGATGGAAATTAATGCAAGAGTGCGCCTGGCGTGCGCCCTTTTTTTCGCGTCTTCGTCGTTGAATTTATTCGTTGCGCCGAACAGAAATTTTCTCCGCCGCGGCGCGCGCAGTTTCGCGAGCTGTCACAGCCGACAACTGACAAATAACGCATGCTGATACGCGCGATAGCGCTTTGCTGCACGAGCCTGCACGTGTGTGTAACGTATTCTGCCAGATGTGTCAGAATAACATTCTTTTTAAATATTACAACTTCTACAAAGTATGTAAAGCAGTCCAATAATTATGCTAAATGAAAAATTAAAATGTCATGAAAGCAGTTTATATGGGACTAACTGACTGAACAACATTTTAGAAACCTTTACGAATTAAAGTTTAAAACTGTAAATGGAAACCTTTGGTTAATTTTAATTTTATTTTGATTAACTTTATTTTCAATATTTCCTCCAAAATTTACTCACAAATTTCGTAAGATCTGAAGAAAGGCGACAAAAATCGTTGAACAATTCCTAAAATATTTTTTTATGTATCTGGGACATTCTACTTATGCAAAATTTCTTACGATGCTATCGGCAGATATCTACTGAATGTAATAAAAAGAAATCTCCCTGATAGAAATTCCATAAAAATACAAAGTACAGGGTAGAGAACGATAAAAATTGCTCGAGATATCCATCACTTTTCTAAGGGCATAATACAACATTGATAACGACAAGGATAGATTATTTCCTGAGAAAGAACGCAATCGAGCAACAGGAAATTCCGATATCGCCTTTCCAGGATCGAAAGGATGCCTCTCGCGCCTAGCACGTAAACCGTCTTGGTTGAACATTCGTGGAAAAGAATGCAACGAAGGAATGTCGACAGAAAGCCGACGTGATGCGCCTAAGCGATTGTTGCATCTCATGTTTCCGATAAATCACTCCTGTTCTTTTGATAACACTTGGTTACTTATTGACTCCGCAAAAATCGATCTGCCTATCTGCGGAAGGAAAGGAGAGAAGGAAATCGACAATTGCGGCTTTAGGATTACATCGACTATTCTTGTGAAAATCGGCTGCAAAAATATTGTAGTCTATATGTGTTAAATGTACTGTTTTAGATCAAAGGCGACAAGGGAGATGACGGTTTTCCCGGAATACCCGGACAACCGGGAAGAGACGGTCAAAGAGGGCCTCCAGGACCTCCCGGACCTCCTGGAGCACCATCTCAAGGAAAATATATACCAGTTCCAGGACCTCCGGGTCCTCCCGGACCTCCCGGTCCGCCTGGTTTGTCTTTAATTGGGCAGAAAGGTGAACCTGGAATCGGTAGGAGTCACGTTTTCGGAGAAAGAGATTACTATGGTCCGAGACAAGGTAAAGACAAATTAAAATAGTAGAAAATTGACAATTATTATAATATTCAAGTACACCACTTCGATAAAAGAAATTAATTTGAAATTGTCAGATAAGATTATGAAATAAATTATGGTTAATTTTAATTACAACGTTCAATAACATTGGATCAATATAATATTTAACAGCATTATAAATTAACAATTAATTTTACTTAATAAACATTTTCCATTGAACTATTATTAAATGCATCTGCTTCTTATCGCGAGCGCACTTATGCCTATCGAATATTTATAACATAATTAAATTTCACACTCGCATACCCACAAGGAGCCAGAAGTAGTCTGGACGAATTGAAAGCTCTACGTGAACTCAAGCAACTGAAAGAACTGAAAGAGCAATTAGGTAATATCAGCACTACGATACCAAAGTGAATATACATCGAAACTGTCGTTCTTTCGAACGCTTTATAAAATAGCTTTTATCAATTGCACATTAACATCGTTGTATTCACATTTTTTTAATAATTCCAAAAAAATTGTTTCAAGGTGTTGTTACTGCCGCTACAAGAGGACCTTTAGAAAGTACAACGAAAATCGTGCCAGGAGCTGTTACGTTCCAAAACACAGAAGCCATGACGAAAGTAAGATTCTTCAGTTAACAAAAAATTGTTTTCTTTATGCAAGTGTAAAATATTTATTATAATATTTTTAATATTCCTGTTTTACATTTTTTAGATGTCTAGCGTTAGTCCAGTCGGGACATTGGCTTATATCATAGATGAACAAGCATTACTAGTCAGAGTTAATAACGGATGGCAATACATAGCGGTCAGTCAATCAAAATTTATTATCATTACAAATTTATAAAATGGAGAAATATTAAAATTGAATTTCTCTTCTTTAGCTCGGATCACTTCTGCCTATCACAACGCCAGCACCACCAACGACGTCACCACCGCCAGCGAATCCTCCTTTCGAAGCATCCAATTTAATTAACCAGATACCTGTAAAAGCTGACGGAACAGGAGTAAGTTGACGAGTTTAATTTATTTCGCATAACATAACGTAGAAATTAAATTGTATTAATATCAAATTTGCACTTCTTTTTCATGCTAAGCAGTGGTATCCGCGAATGGTGAGATTATATTATATTTATTATCGAGATCTTTCTATTCGTTTATTCGTGTTATATCTGCAATATTTCGTTTTTTTCTTTAATTTATTATGCATAAATGATAAAAAAGATTTTAGATAGATTTAATTGGAATTTTCATATAAATACTTTTAATTAATATATATGCTATTATTATGATTGAAAATACTTGCTCAATGCGGCTTATGCTTTCCAGTTGAGGATGGCTGCACTGAATGAACCATTCACCGGAGATATGCATGGTATACGAGGAGCAGATTACGCTTGCTATCGACAAGCAAGGCGAGCAGGTTTGAGAGGTACTTTCCGCGCTTTCCTCAGCTCTCGAGTCCAAAACGTCGATAGCATTGTAAGACTGGGAGATCGAGATCTTCCTATAGTTAACATAAAGGTAATTACGAATGAAAATAATATTTATTGTTATAACACTTTCTATTGAAAATTAATTACTTTCTATTGAATATTAAATATCTTGCTAAATAATATTTAGGGCGATGTGCTATTCAATTCCTGGAAAGAGATGTTCAACGGAAATGGGGCGTACTTCTCTCAGAATCCCAGAATCTACAGCTTCAATGGGAAGAACATCCTGACTGACTTCGCGTGGTAAGTTCAGAGAAAATATATATATAAAATATGAAAAGGGGAATATGTCGATTTTGCTGCTCAAAAATTTAACATTTCTCAGATATAAATTTAAAAAGAAATTCTAAATCGTTTATCGAAAGTATTACTAGTTTTGTTTTAGGCTAAAATAACAAAATAAAATTACATAAAGCTCCATAAAGTTATCATGTAATGATATTTACCTATAAATTAAATACGATAAATACGACATACTTTCGATCGACAGGCCTGAGAAAGTCGCGTGGCACGGCTCTCACAAACTTGGCGATCGAGCGATGGATACCTACTGCGATGCCTGGCATTCGAGCAGCTCGGATCGCTATGGATTAGGCTCGCCGTTGACCGGCGGTCGACTGTTGGAACAAGTACGATACTCGTGCGACAATAAATTCGCGTTGCTCTGCATCGAAGTAACGAGCGAGCTGGGGAGGAGACGACGAAGCGCCGGCAATCGACCAGACGACGACATCGAGATGACGGAGAACGATTATATGGAGTACCTGGAGGAACTCATGCAATACTGAATACACGCACCTTCGACCATCCACTCGCGACGCGAAAATCC